AATTAACCTGGCACCAAAGTCAAGTTTTTATTATGAGCTAGATTGTAATTGTAAAGCAAAGAAACGATCCATAAACTGTACATGTAAGATAATAACCACCAGAAATCTGGCAATATCGATCTTATTTGTATTTCATTTTCATTTGGTTGTTTTTCGGAAATTTGTTAGAAAGTTATAAATGACGAAGGACTGCTGAGTCTACGGGGGCAGGAGCAGGTAAAGAAGACCCAGGTCGAAGGGTCTACTCTGTTTGGTGACGCCTGACTTGCTTGTCAAACAAACCATAAACTCAAAACAAATGCAAAGAGGTCAAAAGTCATAGGGGCTCCAAAATAACCCAAAATAAAGAAGCCTAAACTGCGATATAGATCTAAAGGTTGACGAAATGTTTAAAAAAACAACGCATGAGGGACAAACACAAGGCTCCTGTGACTCTAAAAGAACGCTGAGTCGTGACAAACGACTGCCACGAGGAGCCTGAGGAGGACCCGGTATCTGGATTCTACAGAGGAGGATGTGGGTCACTTCTACCAGTCTGTGCCCACGAGATAAACAATGTCTGGGTAATCATTAAAGGTTTTGGGGGGAAAAAAACTATATCCTTTCGATTTGAGTCCTTTCCCTTTAGTCTTCATATTGCCTGAGGACAAACTTTTACCTTTTAAGCGAATTCTAGACGCAGTAAATCTGTAAAGAGCAATAATACGATAGCCCCCGACCGGTTACAACTGAGTACAATGGTTAGGGTTAGGATTGGGTTAGGGTTGGTCTTAGGTTTACTGTTGGGTTAGGGTTGGGTTAGGGGTCAAGGCTGGGTGTAGGGGTGGGTTTAGGGTTAGGGTTGGGTTAGTGGTTAGGGGTTAGGCTTGGGTTAGGGCTTAGGGTTTGGGTTGGGTGTATGGGATGGGTTTAGGGTTAGGGTTGGGTTAGGGTTAGGGCAGCATTATACAGGACAATATACATTGACCTGTGTGAACTTATTAAGTCATGAAGACACAAACACTGATGGAGGCTGAGCTGGATGTAATCCTCTCAGGGCACAGTCACTGTTCGTCACATTCTCCATCACATGGCTAATATGTTTACGACCAGCCTTCTATAGATGCAGTAAATATTCCCGGGCACTGTCAGTGCCAATGCCCGGTATGATCACAGCTAAAGTATAACTGAGTATTTGTTTTGCTCGGTGCCACGCGGGCTTTTAGATGGACGCGTCCCAGGAATCCATTCCTACTTTTATCAGCTCTTTACAAGGCTACACTTTACAGTGTTGTGAGAATTCTAGCAAACGAAAAGCCTTGCTCTTTTCTTATTGCCCTCAGGCCTGGCAGCAGCACAACATTCCAGGAACGCGGAGCCTCAGCCTCCGCAGATAAAGCCGGACTGAAGCGGAAACTGCATCCAGCCAGCCTCAGTTTTGATTCATGAGGGGGAAATATGTGAGGTCAGGTTCACAGGCCTTCAACACGTGGGCAGACCGCACCCCATTCGATTCCTAAAGCAGACATTCATTCCACTGTACACTTAATTTGGCTCGGCGAATGGGTCATCAGAGTCTGATGGCAAAAAATGATGATGGTGGTGGTCTTTGTTCTGTTTACTGTGATAACAGCCCCTGCTGTGTCACAGGTGGGATTCTGTTTTTACTGACCCTTCAAACGGGGAAATTAGCTCATGTTTACATATAAATAGTGGACACAGCTGTTTGGATTATTGGGTTGGGGTTAAAGGGGCGTCAGAAGAAACAGATAGAAGGGATGGAAGTATATGACAGCATACGAGAGGGGCATGAGCAAAAGTCAAAAGAATGTGCTCATGAATGAAAATGAGCAATTATTAGTTAGGAATGAATGTTTTGGAGATTTCAGAGGCTTTTAGAAAACAAAATATGAAATATGAAGTACTATTGTTTTTCATTTTTTCTCGGCATGGCTGTCATTCTGTCTGCAATTTACATTTTCAGTTAAAAACCTCAGAGAGAAGAATTTAAATTACGTCCAAAATATTTCAAAAATTCCCGAAACTTTAAATGACATCTGGCACAGAAGACAAAGACTGCTTTTCTAACTGACCGAAGCGACAAATTCCTTCACAGCCACAGAAAAATCACAACTAATTAACTCCGTGCAGGCTAACCCAAACTGCACTGCTTGACCACATCTTCCAATCAATGATTGACTTTTTGTTTTGGGAAAAGGCACAAACTCAGGGCACTTTAACTAAGCAGATGACTTTACTGCCCGTGTTGTTTTTGATGGTTAAGAATTAGCTGCTGACCCAAATAACCCTGTCGTTAATGATTTCGAAAGAACTCATATCGAGGATGAGCAAACGGCGCTCCTCAAAAGCGTGTAATATAATCCCATAACATCTGCCGTAAATCAAAGGTCAAAGCCTGCAGACAAGATCTTTATCAGTGCTTTTAATGCGGAAAAAGGTAAGGTGGTTATCTGAATGCAATGATGATGGTTATCTATCAGTCTCTGATCAGACAATATTATTATTCATTCATAAAATACTATTCCCCTGATGACCTTAACCCTCCTGTTGACAAAATAGTAATTTTCAGTTAAACTGACATTTATAAAACAAAAACAGAAAACACTTGTGTCATGACCTTTTTTTGTGTTTGGCCAAAAGTTTTAAGGAGTGAGGTGGAGGTGGAAGGTGGTGGAAGAATTTCAACCCTCAAGAAAAAAAGGGAAAACATCACTCTCTTCAGATTTGTCATAAAATAGTCTTGAATTCAGATTAAATCAAATATAGTTAGATTATCTTATATAAAAAATATTAACTTTATTAGTAAGAATTAGTATGAATTCTTTAAAAGTAACTTTTTTTGGTCATATTTTTATCTGGAGCTCACTGTCAAATTAGCTTTCCGCCCTATTACTATTACTTTCATTTATGTATCTAGTTTTTGACTTATCTATTTATTTTCCATTTTTAAATGATTATTGTAACTGAAAAGAGTTGTTTACTTTTGCAGTGTTTGGCATGTTATCTATGTTGTACTATCTCCTAATGGTCCTCATTGTCTGTCAATTTGGGTGTCAATTCCTACTTATTTGTTTGTCTTTATTAGCTCTTTAAGGAGCACGGCTGTATTGATGATACGGGAGTCTGGACGAGGGAGACGAGTGGGACGTGACTGGCCGCCCCGCGTTTATTGTGGGCGGACGTCACTGGTGGTGCGTGACTATCCTCTTATGTCAGAAAGCCCCACCCGTAAAGACACTCCTACTTAAGTCAGAGAGAGCCAGGCTGGATGCGCGGGCTCAGTTTCCTGCCATCCACATCTCCACAAGCACTGCTTTACCTACAAAACAAACAACAACAACAATAACCTGCACATTTGAGTCACTGTCCACACACAAAAGCAAAACATTAATTGGGACGACTCTGGAGACTAGGAAGTCCAGAGGGAGGAAATGGAAGGTGGAGAGCTAATATTAACCCGTATCCCAGCAGAACATTGGGCCCTCTTGGCACACATCATGTAAACAAGTGGCGGAACAGCTGTCTAGAGATTAGCCCGACACATGAACGGGTGCACAAACAAACAGTATAGTACAACGGCTCGCACGGTGAGGTAAGGCCCGCAGGCAGGATTAACCCGATAGAGCAACTAATCGAATTAAAACCCACGGGAACATTTAAATGGGCCTTTTTTTATTCTGCCTCTGTTATCTTTGATATTACTGATTGCAAAACAACACAGACTCAATAAGGTATAACGTATGACGCATGATGAAGCGAGGATCCTTTGTACAGCACAGCAGAGTGGGGATTAATGCTTCAACCAATACTCAAAACAAACCGGCCAGTTAATCCCTCACAACAGACAGGAGGCCTTCAGATATCTTTTGATTTAGTCAATAAAAGAAACCTCACTAAATCCCAGAATATCATCCTATTTCAAACATTTTGAAATAGTTTGGACAACTAATTTAGTGGAATTTTTTCCCGGGATGAACGTTCAAAATAACTGTGATCTCAGTTTCAGGAATGAAATAAGTCAGTTGTGTAATTTGATTGGTCAGTGAGAGGAGAAAATCCAAGGCAGGAGCAAGAAAAAAGGAGAGATAAATGTTGTTTTTGTCTTCCATCCATCCCTCACTGTGCCACTCAGTCACATGCTCGCTTCTGTCTGAGTGCCAGGCTCACTACTCCCTGAGCGTAATCTCTGTTGATCAGTCAG